CACACAAAACATTTCACTCAAATGCCTGTTGAATGCTGTCTGTGAGAACCTAACTCTGACTCAGTGCACTGCAGATAACACAAGGTATCTTCAGTTGCCAAGACAAAAACTAACCCAAACCAAAGAATAGCAAATTGGAAGAAGCTGTTGTCTCACAAAATGCTGAGGGAAGGGAATCTGGGAATCATTTTAACAATGAAGTAGATCTGTTCCAACAATACTTTTCCTGGGGACAGAAATATATTCATCAAGACAGAGAACTAATTTTGTAGTGGTGCAGCTTAGGTTGGTAAAGAAAGGAGATTGGGATTTGAAAGATCACAATATTTTAGTGCAGATAAGCACACATATATACCAGAAAAAAAATTAGAGGAGAGGATTAAAGACAACGAGGGATCCAGGAGAGAAACAGGACCAGAGGGAAGGGGCAGTGTGTCCGAGGGGGGAAGGGGCAGTGTGTCCGAGGGCTGCAGGGCCGAAGGAAGACAGTGTGGTTTGGGAGACATGCTTCTCCTCTTGACGCTCCCAGGAGCTGACTTTAGATATTGTACGAAAGCCCAGTGCCAGGCTGTGGAGTGTGCAACACTGTGGTGATCCTGTGGGATGGTATTTCAGCAAAAAGGCAGAAAATGAAGAAGAGCCAAGGTAGCTTAGAGGACAAGTTGATGATGAGGGTTCTCAGGAGAGGAGCAGGTCTGGGAGAAGGTAGATGGAAGATGATGAGTTTAGTTTCATTTCTGTTGGGTGGCATGCAGTGAGTCACCCACGTGCAGATATGCCATAGATGGGTGGAGACACAGTGCTGGATCTGAGGTGAAAGACAAAGTCTAGAAACAGCTCTTCCAACTCATCATTAAAAGCATAGATTTAGGCTGAGCGGTATAAAGTAAAATACAGAGAACATGACCTGGTTGTCAAGGAACAGTATTTAATGGGGCGGGGAGAAACACTGGTGCAGTGGTTCCGAGGTGGGATGAGACTTACTGTGCAGCAGCAGTGAGCCTTGCAGGGAAGGAGGCAGGGACAAGCTGACAGCGAAGAGCGGCTGGATGTGATCAGGCAAGGTTAGTGGGCATTAGAAGAGAAGTTGCCAGAGCAAGGCCTGGTACAAGTGTGGACTCTGACATTATTTACTATGTGCCAGATACTGTAATAGATAGTGAAGTAGCATTAAGAACAAGCCATGGTAGTCAAGGAAACTCTCAGTGCAACAAGGGAGAAAGGCAGACAGGCGATCAATGATTTGGTAAGTATAATATGTTGAAATGTAAATTTGAGGGAAAAAGGCAAAAATTTTCTAATGCTGAGACTGAGGAAAATCAGACACCAAATAGCGAACATCCAGCAGAAATAGTGCGTGTTGCGTCACCAGGTGCTCGCAACTGCTGTCGGTTTTCTTGTTAACCACTTAGCCTCTTTAATTTCAGGAGAACTTAGCCTCTTTATTTCACTGCTGTATCTATGTTCTGGAACAGCACTTGGCACACAGTAGATGCTCAAAAAATGTGGATAAATGATCATGAAACTCCTATTAGGAGCAGAGGCATTTCAGAGAGATGATCTTGGAATTTTTGTTGCAACAAAAGAACTGAAGTTATTATTGTTGAAGGTGGAGAGAATCTAAAGAAGGAAAACAAGGAGAAGTTCAAATGCAGAGCTTAATGAAAGCATGAAATAACAAATATGTGTTAGATGGCAGAGGGAAGAGAAGAGGTGTTGAACAGATAAATATACTAGAAGCAGGCAGAAAGGAAGAAAGTCAGATTATTGTGGACAGATTACCCTTAGACTTTGAGTCTAGAGAAAGGAGGGACTAAAAGGACAGTGATGCCTTAAGGTGAAGATAAAAGGAGTTCTGTAACTATCACACTAAACAACCTTCATGTTCCTTGGTGGCTACTCAATAAAGTCTAAATTTCTTTGACTGATGTCCAAAGTCTGCCATGATGATCTAAGTAATCATTCGGGCCTTATTGCATGTAGTTTATTTTACCTCATAAACCCTGAATTTCAAGCAGTTACATCCACTCTGCATACTCCAAACTTATCCTATACCTTCCTTTCTCCCTTACTCTAATCTTGCTGTTTGATTCATTCAGAACAACTTTCCTTCCAACTTGCAACACTAACGGCCCCTGGTTAAATTCTAGCCTCTTGGTGAAGTCTAATGTTGAAGCATCTCTGCTCTTCACAAACTAGCAGTGCGATTAAAAAAATGATACTTGATGCCATTTTCTAGATCTCCCTCTCTTACCCAGAACACCAAGTACATTACCCTGTGTTTATTCCTGATTTATTCACTTAAAAATATTTACTAAGTACTTCTTATGTACTTGTCAGATTTGGTGATGTGATGGGAGAATGTAAAACAGAGATCTCTGTCCTCCTGGACTGGAAGTCTGCTGGAGGAAGCAATCATACAACAACACAAACACATAATTACTATGTGACAGGTACCAATTCTTAACGGTATAGAGTCACGTGAGAGAGGTGATGTTGGGAAGAGACTTAGAGTCAGGACAGGCTAAGATCATAAAGAAGAGAGAGCAAAAGGGGTGAAGGGTGCATGGGATGGGAGTTAAAGAATTTTCCAGGAAAGGGAAACAAAGGCCCTAGGAAAGGTTCAGATCATGTGGCCCTTACAGGTGCTGTTGAAGACTTTGCTATTCATTCTAAGAACAAAGGGATAGTATTGAAGGGTTTTATTCAACAACTTGCATTTAAAAAATAATCACATTGGCTGTAAAGTGGAGAAGAAACAGTAGGGGGTAAGAGTAGAAGCCATGCCCAGGCAGAAGCTCTCCTGCCTTCACCAAGTAAAGCTGAACTATTTGAGTCTGGGCATCAGTTAGCAGACTTCTTTCATAGGGCACATATGACAGAGCAATGACCAGGACTACAGTAGGTTATACAGATACTCAATAAATGCCCAGAGATGACTGCGTCAGTCTTTTGAAGTCAATCAAAAGAAAACAATCAGAATGAAAAACATTTAGTTTCACCTTTACAAATCATCCCACTAATGCAAAGCATAAGCAATAACCTCAGGTTTCTGGAACTGTAGGTTAACGCTCCTGTCGGAATAAGCAAGTGCTCTAGATGACTAAAGGTAAACGCGACGCTTTTGCTCTATTTAACTGTTTCCGGAATACCTTTATATCTCTGACTTCTTAATACAATTTACCCTTCTTTGTCAATTACAAATACCAACATGAGGGCCCTCCCTGGTGGCGCAGCGAGTTAAAGCGCAGCAGTAGGAGGCGAAGGCCACTTCAGCATGACTTCGTTCCCCACCTGCCTCAGAGGTGACCCACATGGCGTGACAGACCTCTCCTGACCCACCCTCAGCAGTGTGCTTCATTTATCTGCCTGTTCTGCTCCCCACTCTGTCTCTGATGAAGCCTCTCACAGCCCCTGTACCTCTAGCCTATATCCCTGTTCTGTATGCATAAATAAATCCTAAAAAACAAAAACAAAAACAAATACCAACATGAGCAATAATTTATGATATAATACAAAATACAAGGGATTACTCAGACACGTCCAGGCAGAGAGCTTGTTCGAGCCTTCGCAAAGTAAAGCCAAACTATTTGAGTTTTCATTCCTTAGCTGACTTTTGTTTTTGTAGTTTTCTCACTTCCTCTTTTCCTCAAAAGCTAAGCCTTTGAGGTTATATGTGTCTAGGCAGAAGGAACTTTCTCCTCCCCTAATTTTCCTATGGGCTAAGTAATTAGATGACATAGATGGTAAGAATTACATGTAAAATTAAGATTTGAGAGAGTTGATGAATGGCTACTTAATTTTTGTTAAAGACTTTCTAGATGGATCTATTCATCAGAAAGTAATGTTCTAAATCCTGTCACATAATGTATAATGTACAACAGATATACTTGAACAACAGATATAATGTACAACAGATATACCTTTATGGTTCTTTCATTAATCAGAGATATACTTAGGGATTGACGGGAGTCTATATTATATATAAAGTCTCCATCTTGGTACACTATTCTGTGGTGATAAATAAATGGTGAATTGTATTGTAGTTCAAAACATGAAAAATAATTAATGTCTCTGTCACATTATATAAACAGTTCTTACAAATATGTTGCCTTCAAAATGTCAACTTATATATTCATCAAGGCACAATAAAGAGTTAAAGGACTAGCACAGAGCAAGAGCAGATATTTACAACATATATAACCAACAAAAGACTAAGATCAGAATATATGAAGAAATCCTAGAAATGTATAGAAATCACTAGATAAATAGGCAAGAGATTTGAATAGAGACAGCATAAATGATAAAATCCAGTAGCTCAATAAAGACACGAAAGGTTATTCAACATGTTAAGTAATAAGGGAAATGCAAATTAAAATCATAAGTAAATGTTACTATATACCCACCAAACCTGCAAAAATGTGAAATCTAATAATATCAAGCACAGGTAGAGATGTACAGCATCAGAAACTCTCATATATACTGGTAAGCATATAAATTAGGAACCAGCATTTTGAAAAATAGTTTACATCATCTAGTAAAGCTGAGGATACACACACATATATATGTCCTTTCACTATTCAATTTCACTCCTAGTTTTAGACCTTAGAAGAGAAACCCAAGTACATGTGCACAAGGATAAATACAAGAATATTTATAGCAGCATTGTTCACAATAGCCCCAAATATCCCAGGTACAGAATAGATAAATAAATTGTGGAATATTCATACAATGGAACACTATACAACAACAATGAATGAACAGCTATACATATCAGCATGGATGCATTCCATAAAAAGAAGCACTGAGCAACAGAAGCAAGATATACACACACCCTCACACACATGCACCTGTGTGCACACACACACAGTTTGACTCTAGTCATATGAAATTAAAAAACAGCCACATTGAAACTATATTGTTTAGGGACACATACAGAGGATGTAAAATTATAAAGAAAAGTAAGGACGTTATTATTATGAAGTCAAGAGAATGGTTACCTTTAGGGGAGAAGGACAGGGTTGTGACCAGGGAGGGGCACACAGGGGGCTTCTGGGAAGCTGGCAGTGTCCTGCTTTCGTGACCTGCATGGTTATTACATGTATGTTCACTGCATGGTTATTACATGTATGTTCACTTTATAATTATACATTCAATTGTTTAGCAGTTTTTATGTATTTTCAGCATATATATTTTACATTCTAAAAATTTTTAAAAGTTGAATATATATCAAACGTTTATAAGTAGGAACATATCTTATCCATAGAAATAAAAGTATAAATAACAGTTGGCAAATCAGATAAGCCCATAGCTCTTATTTAGCTAATAGTATGGATTAAATACTCTACATTTTAATAAAAGTAATAGAAAATAATATGGTTGCAATATTAGCAGTTAAACAAAGCATACAAGAGCAATCATGATTAAGGATTATTTTTAAGTATCTGATATCAGATCGGAAAAGATAACACATACGATATACTAGATTGCAAGGCTGGAAGGAAACTGGCACTCATACATGGCTGGGAAGAGTACAGTTTGGTTCAACATTACAGAGGGGGATTTGAAAAATGTCTCAAAAATTTTGAAGCATATTCCCTTTGGTAATTCTTCTAGTTGTACTGTTAATACATTCACAGCTCACAAGTATGAGAAACTATATGTACATGGACATTAGCTACAGCCTGTTTGTAATGATGAAATATTGGAAATATCCCATCAATGGGATGTTAAGTAAATCATGGCTCCCCAAGTTGTGGAAAACCATGAAGCCACCAAGAAGAACGAAGTACCTCTACAATAGCTATGAAATTATTGTCCACAGTTGATACATGGAAAAAGGAATAAAGCTATACTTACTGTATATAATCACCGAAGAATAAATAAGAGTATGTCAGTTTTTATAGCTCTAAAGAAGAAGAATACCCACAGTCTGAAACTTGTATGTATATCACTGCTTCACAACTTCATTTTAAAAATCTTGAATGCACATGTTGAGTATGAGGAAGCATTAGAAGGTTTTGGTAAAGACATTAAGGAAATTTCTGAATAGCTTCTATCAGCACTATGAGCACATTTTAAAAAAGGCTATTTCTACATCAAAACAAAACAGAAGTATCAGTACCATTGCTTCTTTACATCCTACATGACCTTTCTTTAGGTGTCAGTAACAGAGAAAGACATGGAGGTAGAGTTAAAGAAAAAACCAGGACAGACCTAAGTGCCAATGCACCCCAGAGGCCACAAAACCCAGCACATTTAGGATCATACCAGCACAACAGGGGCGGGGCTAAGCAGGTCGGCAAGGGCTTTGTTTTGTTCACTGACACACCCTCTGCATCAAGAACAGTGCCTGCCCTGCAGCTGGAGCTCAGTGCATTGCCAGTGAGTTAATAAATAAGATAAACGTAACATACATCAAAGTCCTGAGGGAAAGATAAAGAGTTTTTAACTTTTTCTGTTGCTCACTAAATCAGTCTGCCATCCAGATGTAAGGTAGCAGCAACAGCAAAGAGGAAGCAAAACTTTAAAAAGCCCATTCCTGCAGCTGAAACAGGAGACAGGAGAAAGAAAATAAGAGTGCTTGTTTTGTCTCGGTTAGTACATGGTGAAGTTCAGAGGCCAGTGCAAGCCCCTGCAGTTGGCCGGGGCAGAGAGCAGTGTGGGACTGGAGATCCACTAAGTGCTCCAGAGCCGCCACGCAGATTGGAAAAACAGCCCTGCTGAACAGCTATATATCTTCCTGCAAATAGCAATATCAAACAGAAATTGGGGCATTCAAAAACCAATGACAGCATTATATAAAAAGTGGAGGTACAGCACGAACTTGGAAAACTCAACTATCAGCCCTGACCTCTGGGGAGGATGAAAACTGAGCATCAGGCCTGACCCAGGACATGTGTGCTCCAGCACAGCCAGGGTGAGGTCTGTGCGGGGCATGGCAGAAGAAAGGAGCGGCTGATCAGCAGTGGTGGGAACTAGGGAGGCCACACCTGGAATTGGTGCTGTGGCATGTCCCCACAATATTCTAATGGTGGGACACCATAGAAGACATTCAAACTTGTTTCTCTTACAAGGCCCTGCTCGCTGATAACAGAATCATTTACTCTCACCGCAAAGCCACGTCCCAGTGTTGCACTGGTTGTGGCAGAGAGGGGGCTGGTAGTCACGTTGTCAGCAGTGACCAAGTGATACTGAGCTCAGCTGCCAGGTAGGCAGACCCCAGGCAGGCATTTCAGTCTAAGCTCAAGACCAACCAACAGAAGGGGACCACCTGCTTACCCAGCATGTTTTCCCCAAGGGCCCAGGGGATAACATGTCAGACAACATGGCACGTTTTACAGCAGAACACGCATAGGGAAGGGCAGCTCCTGGAAAGCACAGTCACTTCTTCAAAACCCCACCTGCACCTGCCTATATCCAGCCTCCCTGCTTTGCTCCAGATGTTCGTTCTTAACAAATTTTTGCTTCAAGTCTCTAAAACAGTTCATGCCCATACCCTGCAGGAGAGCACAGCTGCAGGTACATACGCCTGGTATCACTTATAAATTATCCAGAGTTCACCTTTTTAAGAACAGTGTTTCCAGGGGCTCTCTCCCCTTACCACTAACTTTAATAAGGTAATTCATTTTGTCCTGAACTAAAATGACTTTCTCTCTAAGTGACACAGAAGGAATGAAAGGGTGAGTGGCACGAGAGACTGGGCAGCACGCTCTGATAAAAACTTGCCCAGAGAGCCACCACTTCTCTCTCGGCCAAGCCCCCAGGCCTCGCTCTGCAGCGCCGCCCGCCCTCCCCGCCATCTCTCCTGCTGCTTTCACCAGCAGAATGCAGGCGATGTACTTACTTGGGTCTCGTTTGCCTTGCACTGTCGCCAGCTAATCCACTTTAACATGTCGGTTTGCTCTGTTTGCTTTCTCCTTTGACCAAAAATTTTAAAAACAGAATTTAGATTTGTGCTGGGCTGAGGCAGGACTGAGCTGATCTGGAGCTGCTCTCCTGGCACCTCACCACAGGATCAGCCTGAGCACATTTCAGTGTTCACCGCCAAGCTCCGAGAGCCCAACTGGGAATTTCCTTCAGAGGCTTGAAGACTGTCTAGGGCAGAATCACACCCCCGTCGAGGTCGCTATATGAGTCACAAGTACTTGGTATCAAAGATGCTGTGGTAGGTTGTAGTACTGGGGAGCTACCGTGTCCTCTGCCACACCCCAGCCCAGGGGATACTGCACTGGGCTACAGAACCGCTCTGCAATTCACCTTGGGTCGCTGTGGATTTTCTGGGGCTGAGGCAGGGTGGCACAGAGCAGCTGAAGAAGAGTTACTAATAGTGTAACTATAGTGGAGATCCCCAGGATCTCCAGGATACTACCAAAGTATCCGTACTATGTTTTAATCCATTTTAGCAGGGAAAAGACTGGACTTGGGTTTGAGTCGTTGGTCTGTTGTTAATAGGTTCTGTGGCTACAAACAACTCATTTGTTCCTTTTAAAGGAGACAAAAGCGAGGACTAGGTTTCCGATCTTCATCCCCCAAGAAGATTATATTCAAAATTCCAAACTCACCCAGAGGTCTATCTGACCTCTGGCCACCCTACAGCTATCACACACGGATCTCATCCGAAACTGGCAAATCACCTTTTCCAGTTTCCCTCTTCTACAACAGCTATGGCGCAGTGCTGCCAGGAGAAAGAAGTGAAAGCAGGCAGCAGAGGCGCCCAGAGCCTCCTGAAGTCACTTCCCGGAGTTCCTGCAATTTGCCAACTTCCCAGGGGCTGCTGTGTTTTATGAGGATTATTTGCTTTTCAGATGACTGACAACATTAAAGGTGGATTTCTCAAGGTCATTTTACAAATGGTGGGGCAGAAATAAAAATATCGTATAAAATAATGTTGCCATGAGTCTGCACATGAGCCGGGGATGCATTTTTGCAGTGTACTGCATTCTTGAGCTGTGCAAAGACGGGAAGCTGATCATTTATTCGAGCAACTTTTTATTGGAGGGAATCTTATGACTTCAACTCCTTGCACTTTATCAACTTGTTCTGAGAAGCTGTAAAATCTGACTGTTTTCAGGGGAGGATAGATGTATGCTTCCCAGGGGTAACAGAGACCTACAGAGGAAGCCTTCAGCATCCCAGACACCAGGACATCTGCATTTTCTTGCCCACTGTGGTTCCCTTCCCTCCTCCAGGCACTAGTCTACCACAGATAAAAGTAACAGTGGAACTATACTAGGGCAAAAAAAAAAATCTATTTTCAAACCTAAACTTCAATTCTTCAGAAAAACAAACACAAGTTGGGCTTTAAACCTTCACGTGAACATGATACTTTGTTTTGGAGTGACTACCAAATCCTTGAGAAAAATCAGAATGCCTCTGTCTAGCATTTAAGCAGCAATTGTAACCCACTGTACTGGCAGGCGTGGTGTGCCCCCGAGATTGAAGATGCATAGCTTATAAAGTCCCAGCTTAGACTTTAAATATATATCTACTTCAACCCCTGGTAAAAAGAAGTATAATCATACACTCTCTTCAGGCTTTTATTGAAGGGTTAGAAAGTGCTTTGGAGGGTAACATAAATCTCTGACTATAGAGGAATATTTTGTGGACCCTCGGGCCCCCTCTTCTTCCCCCTAGACAAAGGGCAGAGTCATAGAAGTGCTGAGGATTCTAGCCTAGAGACTCACTGCACTGTCTACTGCTTTAGGATTCTGCATTTAATGGGCTGTATCTCCCATGGGTGGCTCACCTACTCAGCTGTACCACCTGCTAAATGTAGCACTCTGTCACAGGAACATTCTGCAGTCTCAACCCTAGGTGGACTATCTTGATGGCTTTTAAGAATCTGTCAAGCAAAAAACTGTTGCCTCATGGAATCAGTTGGATTTTTATTGGCCCTGACACTGCTGAGTCCTCACTTTTCCAAATGTTTGCTTTTCTCCTCAGTGGCAAAATTCAGTGATCTGTGGGCCCTTAAAACTCCAGGGAGCACATTTGCCCACTTTCTTGCATGGAACTACCTGCAGTCACTGAGACAATGGCCGAGGACATGTTTTCTTTACTCCAGATACCCTTTCTCAGCTAG